CGTTTGGTCTGACAAAGTCAAATGTTCTGTCGGACCGGATGAAGTTTTGTCAGACCAGATACATGTACCTTATTTTGACGCTGAGAAAGGAAAATAAACAACAGCACCAAAATGCCCTTTAATATTTTCAACAGCCTTCAATCTCACAAGTTTCTTTTCTTATGATAGAGTGTCTTTAATAAGAGACGTAAATAACATATTTTATGTCTTTCCTGTAACAATTTAAATTGACCATCGTCACTACGCCGCGCACACGGCCATCTCTTCTGTGTTTGTGACCTTCAGTTGCGCATCCGATCCCGACCTTTTTTAAATTTGCGTTACGCTCGATTTTTTCAAATGGTCATTTGGACCGACGTTTTCTTAAAAGTTATCAGTCCAGACAAATTTTTACTGGCCTTGCTGACACGACCGACGGATTTCGACAAGTCTGAAGCAGAAATCAGTTCAGAATTGGATGGTTTATAAATATAAATGGTTCCATCCAACCCACTGGGGGTGATGATTTGATGCTTCCTTACTCATATGACTAATCATTGCTATAAAGCTGTTTTTGAGATTTTTTTCCCCTATATAATATAATCCCATGTAATGTTTAAAACACTGATTGCCTAATGTCGCCCCACCATACCCCAGGGAGTCATGATTTGAACACACTTTATAATTTTCATTATCTGAGGATAATTCTGAATTAACAACACTAATCATGGTTCTGCCTTTCTTGAGAAGATTTTTAAAGAATTTTCCTACATCTTATGAATAAATTGATCCCCAATTGTGGCCCAATCCTGCTTCAAGGGGTCATGATTTAAACAAACTTAATCTATACTACCTGAAAATGCTTCTAAACACTCTTGTATCTACACTACTTAAGAATGCTTCTGTATTTATATGACTAATCATGGCTTTGATAATTTTTATGAGCTAAAGTTCTGCACCTACATCTAAGTGAGCCTTTTTTTACATGCTGAGAAAATTGCACATTTAAGCCTTGAGAATACATGTAGCTTAATCAGATCAATTTATAAAACTAAATCAAGAGATTGTGCCAGACCTAGCTAATTCCATAGGCACTGGAAGTTAATGTAAAAATACTGAGTATACATGTACGAAAAAAGCAAGGGTTCATCCTTTTTTATATATGAACTGCACTAGAGGTGGGATGATATACCGATGCATACTTGCTAAGATATCTTTTAGATACATGCATTGCAGGGTTCAACACTAACATTTTTAGGCTTTAGTCCAGCCGGACTAGTGCTTGAATCTTTACTTTTACTAGTCCGCACGCAATTTTATGAGTCGTTAAAAAAAAAAACATCAATGTTTTCAAAAAAAAAGAATCAATGTTTTGTAATGGTTAATTTAAAAATAAACATTGCAATGTACTTTTTATACTTTTATGTTTTTTATTTTATACTTTTTTATACTAATTAGCCACAGATTTTATTAGTCCGAATGAAAATATATTAGTCTGAGACTAACAGACTAACGTTAATGTCGAACCCTGCATTGAACTATCAATGTGAAACAATACACAAACCACCTATCAAAAAATTTACAATGAAAGTAGTTGTCTTGGAAAATGGCAAAAGGAACAGGAACATTACAAAGTGAAATGATATTGATATTGAAAACATGCTTTAGCACTAATAAGACATAGATATTGGGGGACATTTTGATTTTCTATCATCTTTGGAAGACAGGACAAGAGAAGTTGATAGAGGTCAAGCAGTCTGTAAAGCGTGTTATACACAGTAACTTTTCCATGACTGGGGTTATTATTTATTAATGCCCATCTGGCACTTATAATACAGCTTGAAAGAAAGCATGGATTCTCTAATTTTCATTAAAAACAATTTGAAATTTTTAAATAAATTGTGGATTAACTTTTTGAAAAACTCAACTTGGTTAAATACATTTAGCAATTAACAATGTATATGTGATATTGTTTTTGATGAATTTCTAGTCAGTGATATTAATAAACTATATTATTTGAAAACTCAACTTGTTTATAGACATTTGGCTATAGATATACATACATGTAAACTAATATAGTTGTTTTTTGTGAATTTTTAGTCAATGAAATTGATGAACTACAATTATTAATTTCAAAGACATGTGATTTGATATAAAATATTTTGTTGATTTATTGTCAAGACAAATAAAATACTACAAGTTTATTATATTTTTCTAATTTATCATAATATCGAGATACATGTATCTTACCATATTATATGTATCGAGATACGTATCGTATCGAAAGACCTGTGTATCGTCCAACCCCTACACTGCACATACTCAATCTTTAACTTCCAGTGCCCGTGGATTGTGCCGTTTTTCTAAGTTAATGTGTGTGTTTTTTTTTTTTACATACCTAAAGGTGTTACTTTAATCTCTGATGCCATTCTCTGTATAAACGTTTATGAAATATATGTTGACGAATCCGTAAAATTCACAAATTTCATGTTTGTTTAAAAATATTCTCCAGACATGTGATGATCATCATCACAGTCATATCATCTCATGGGCAGCGCCATATTGAATTTTCGCAAGGAACGTCGATCCCGATATTTTACGCGCAACTTGCCGGGCCTTTCTTGCCGGTGAAACAAAGAATTTTGACCTGAGTTCGCATCGTTGAATTTTGATCATTAATTAAACCGGCTCAAAATTCAACAGATAAAAACAAGTATAAAATTAATTTGTTCACAATTATGATTTATTCGTTTTAAATTACACATGTATATTTATTTGGGCTAATATTAAATATGTCCATAGGAACCAGGTGGTGGTAAAAGGGGGGGGGGGGCAAGGGGTGGCTGTTTCACTTAATACATTTATAAGCTGTCATATACATGTACTATACAAAGGAAAACAAAGCTTATTTACGATTGTGTTTCTTTATAAAGAATGTCTAGTGATTTTTTTTTTGGTTTGCATTTTGCTTGTCAATGAATTTCTGACCCCCCCCCCCCCAAAAAAAAAATCGGCTTGAATTTTCTTCCTACGAAGCAGGGACCTATAGGTCCCTGTACGAAGCTATTCACAAACTTTATAAACATGCACACCAACATATTTTTGATTCAAATTTGAACATTTGCACCAAACAAGTGGCACTCTAAAAAGGTCTAGAATGTTTTAAAGACCGACCGCAAAAATGCGCATTATTTTATTTCTTTTTTGAATTGTGCAAACAACCCTTTAATATGCAATCACTTTTGTACTAGTTTCAAATTATATAATTATAGTGAACTTTTTGCATATTAGCGCCACAGGCGATTCTTGTATTTTTATGTGCCGATGACGGTAAAAAATTAGAAAATAAATAAATAACTAAAAAATAAAATTAAAAAAAATATACAAAAAGGGAAATAATATTAATATTAGATTATCAGATTCATGCTCTATTGGAATTCCCATGTGTACTTAGTCTAATTGTAACCCATTATTGGCAAACCAGTTTTTGTATCCTTATATGTGAAGCAGAATTTATTCTAAAACTTTTACATGAAAAGAAGAAGTCTCTTGCTGTGGCCTTATTCAACTTCTAGGTATATCTATGACTTTTTACAATCAACACGAATACTGATTTTCATGCATTCATACATTGATTCGACATATCTATATGAACTGCCGTCACGGTAGCTCAGCCGGTAGAGCGTTGCTCCGTAATCGGAAGGTCTAAATTTGAAGCCCTTCAACGGTATATGGTGACGTCTCTATATGAGTGAAAAATTCTCGAACGGTACGTAAAACAACATACATACAATCAATCAATCAACATTCAATCAATCAATCCAATTGAACTCGAAACGAAAGAGATACCACGCATGGAGTCTTGGACATCGGCTTCATATTTGTATATTTTTCAATTCAAGAGAAAGACATTGATGACAAACTAACAACTTCGCTTAATTATAAACGTGATAATTTCACTTTCTTATCGTCAAATTTCCTTATTTACAATGTAGGTAGCAATATACCATTTTCACCTGCATATGGGGCTTATGTCTCCCGGATGATCAAACGCAAGATCATGTTCTTTGTACGAACAATTTCTTTAAAAAAGAGGAAGGCTACTGACTAGTGATAAATAAGTTGATGATACAAGGATATCTACAATCTCCCTTTAAAGTCAACATTTTGCAAATTCTATGGTCGATACAATGACCTTATTTACAAATACAATCGTTGGGTCAAATTTTGATTGAGGTTTTTCTGCAAATTGTTAGGCTATTATTTACGGATTTCTCCGTTTACCTGACCATGACAAAGGGCACTCGGCGAGTGTGACTGGTCTACAGGGGGTGCTTATTTATCTATTGCACCTGATCAAACCTCTTACGTTTTCGGAAGTCCATTTTTGAACTTCACAATTTGTTTTTATTTTGTTGGACTTTTCGCCATGATTACTATTCGTCTTCTTCACATTTCGTGGAGAAGTTGAAGTTATCTCTTTTCTTAAGTTGTTAGTTGGTAATCATCATCTATAGTCAGTAAAAACAACATCCAGATATAAAGCAGATGTGGAAGATTATGTGGGTGTTTTCTTTCGAGTTCATTGGGATATATCGAGTCGACAAATGAATGAAAGTAACTATAAATAATTGTTGTATATTGTTAATTGATAAAACTTCGTCGATATATCTAAATGTCTAAATATGGAGTTAAGGCCGTAGATTTTTTTTTTTGTTTTCCTGAAGAAGTTTTCGATTAAATTCTACTTCATATGAACCCCCCCCCCCCCCCAGATCTACTAAATAAAAAAAGAACACAATTTAGTGACCATCGTAATTCCATCAGAATGTTTGAAGACACTGTTTCCAAAGACTACATCGATATTGTTAAAGAACTCTAGCATCTTTTAATGAATTATGAAGATAACGAACACTAATCAAGCTCAAGAGTCCATTGCAACAAATTTGGAGCAGAGCAAACACAGACCTCTAAAGACATCAGAGGTGGGATCAGGTGCGAAGGAGTAGTGAGCATCCCTTGTCGACCGGTCACACCCGCCGTGTGCTCCTTGTCATGATCAGGTAAACGGAAAAATCCGTAGAAATTCATAGTGAAATAATGGCCTATTAATTTGTATGAAAAACTTCAGTCAACACTCGGTTTAATGGTAGATTGTATTTGCTGGCAAGGTCATTGTATCGACCATAGAATTTGCTTAATGTTGACTTTAAACGAGACTATTGAAATACTAGTTTTATCAACTTATTTGTCAATAGCTTACCTCGTTTTTCAACCTTAGAGTTCTTGTGTGTAGTGTCAGAAATAATTCTGCAATGACCAATCAAAAGATAGAACAAGATGTGTTTGTGAATCATCGATTCCCCCGTAAAGCAGCTTATGGCGAAGGTTAAAGTTTCTGAAATGCGAGTCAAACTCCAAGGTCAAGGTGAAGAGATAAAAAATGCTGTTACCCAAAGTAAGGAATTGTGTCATTGGATATTTCTGGTAAATATAAAAGCCCAAGCACCAACCATTCAAAAGTTATGGTCAAGGTTGAATTTTTCTAAAAGTGGGCCAAACTCCAAGGTCATAGGGCCAACATTACGCAGGGGAAGACCTTATCATAAGAAATACACATGCAAAATATGAAAGCCCTAGAACCAGCTGTTCAAAAGTTACGGCGAAGGATAAGGTTTTCAAAAGTAGGTCAAACTCCCAAGGTCAAGGTCAAAAGGTCAAAATTGTTGGTATCCAAAGGAAGATCCTGTCACAAGAAATAAAACCTATGAAATTTGAAAGGCCTATTACTAACTATTCAAAAGTTCTGGCCAAGGTTAAAGTTCTTTTTTAAAAGTGCGTCAAACTCTAAGGTCAAGGTCAAAAGGTCAAAAATATTTATACCCATGCAAAGGTTTTGTCACGATAATTAAACGTGAAATATCAAAGCCCTAGCACCAACTGTTCAAAAATTATGGCCAAGTTAAAGTTGGGTAAATTTTTGCAAAAGTGAGTCAAACTCCAAGGTCAAGGTCAAGAGGTCAAATATATTGGTACCCAAAGAAAGGTCTTGTCACATGGAATACACAAGTGAAATATGAAAGCCATAGCTCCAACCAATCAAACGTTATGGGCAAGGTTAAAGTGTTTGCGGACAGACAAACAGACAGACAGCTAGACAGACAGACAGACGGACCGGACAAAAACTATATACCTCCGAATCTTCGATTTCGGGAGCATAAAAATTTCCGAATTCCATTTTCTTGAAGAAGCAATTGTCTATAATATCAAAAAGTCTAGTCTTTAATTAATCGTCGGGAATGGTTGCAAAAATTTAACATTAAAAAAAATCATACGTTTTGATCTTAGTGACTTTGGTAAAAATGTGATTTGAAATATTCTGAAAGTTCGTCGTAGTTTTTAAAACTTCACATTCATTTGATTTACTCCACTTCTTGAAGATGTAGAAAAGTTACGTCTGAAGTATCTCCTTCACAGCAGTTGATTTTTGTGAGGATAAAAATAGGGGCTTGGTCGAGCATTTCCTGAACCTGCATGTATCTTTGTAAGGGCTTTATGAAGTTTATGAAGTTTAAGAATCCAGTATAGGTATGGTAAATTGAATTCACTTTTGTTGACTGTAATGTTTAGAGCATGTTTAGATCATTAAAGACTAAAACGTGATTTGAAGAATTCCATCCTTAGAAAGTGATCTGGGAGTATAAGCTGGATTTCAAGAAGTAGTTTTAAAATTAATTTCTTCTAGAAAGTCGCTAATTAAATGTCTTTGAGATGTGTAGGTAAATCCAAGCTATGCATTGATATGGATTCTGATGTTTTAAAGATCAAATATGAAGATAAAAACAGTGATCAAACTCCAAGTCAAAGAAATTTTCACTCAAAGACCATTGAAACAAAGTCCATTGGAACAATACAAATTGTGAGCAGAGCAAACACGGACCTTTAAAGACAAGTGGGATCAAGTGCCATGGAGGAGTAAGCATCCCCTGTCGACTAGTCAAATCCGCCCTGTGCTCCTTGTCATGACCAGATAAACGGAAAAATCCGTAGAAAATTCAGTGTGGAAATAATGGCCTAACGATAGATTGTATTTGCTACCAAGGTCATTTTATCGACCATGGAATTTGCGAAATATTGACGTTAAACAAGACTGCTGATATTCTTGCATCATCAACTTATTTATCAATTGCTTAATTTTGCAATCAGTTGGTTAGAATATAGTATACTAGTATCTTAATTAGGGATGGCAATCGAATACAGAATTGCTAATCGGTTAACCGCAAGACATTCCGACCGATTAGTCGGTTAATCGTATCAAAATACACATTTTTTGGACATCTTTTTTCAGGTATCTCTTTTCATGTGTACAAGAAGACTAAAAAAATGTTAGAAGTTAGAAACATTTTGTTTATCTTGATCAGGAAACTACATGTACATATATATTATTTCAATTTCATTATACAAGAAAAAAATTAAGAAAAACATGAATCATGCGTGCCTGTAAAATCAGACATTAATAAT